TAATTTTTTTAATTGATTATTAATCCATTACAATTAATATTATTTAATAATATAAAAATTGTTAATTTTTTTAATTTATTATTAATCCATTACAATTAATATTATTTAATAATATAAAAATTGTTAATTTTTTTAATTTATTATTAATCCATCACAATTAATATTAACTAATAATATTAAAATTGTTAATTTGTTTAATTTATTATTAATCCATTACAGTTAATATTAATTAATAATATTAAAATTGTTAATTTTTTTAATTTATTATTAATCCATTACAGTTAATATTAATTAATAATATTAAAATTGTTAATTTTTTTAATTTATTATTAATCCATTACAGTTAATATTAATTAATAATATTAAAATTGTTAATTTTTTTAATTTATTATTAATCCATTACAGTTAATATTAATTAATAATATTAAAATTGTTAATTTTTTTAATTTATTATTAATCCATTACAGTTAATATTAATTAATAATATTAAAATTGTTAATTTTTTTAATTTATTATTAATCCATTACAGTTAATATTAATTAATAATATTAAAATTGTTAATTTTTTTAATTTATTATTAATCCATTACAGTTAATATTAATTAATAATATTAAAATTGTTAATTTTTTTAATTTATTATTAATCCATTACAGTTAATATTAATTAATAATATTAAAATTGTTAATTTTTTTAATTTATTATTAATCCATTACAGTTAATATTAATTAATAATATTAAAATTGTTAATTTTTTTAATTTATTATTAATCCATTACAGTTAATATTAATTAATAATATTAAAATTGTTAATTTTTTTAATTTATTATTAATCCATTACAGTTAATATTAATTAATAATATTAAAATTGTTAATTTTTTTAATTTATTATTAATCCATTACAGTTAATATTAATTAATAATATTAAAATTGTTAATTTTTTTAATTTATTATTAATCCATTACAGTTAATATTAATTAATAATATTAAAATTGTTAATTTTTTTAATTTATTATTAATCCATTACAGTTAATATTAATTAATAATATTAAAATTGTTAATTTTTTTAATTTATTATTAATCCATTACAGTTAATATTAATTAATAATATTAAAATTGTTAATTTTTTTAATTTATTATTAATCCATTACAGTTAATATTAATTAATAATATTAAAATTGTTAATTTTTTTAATTTATTATTAATCCATTACAGTTAATATTAATTAATAATATTAAAATTGTTAATTTTTTTTAATTTATTATTAATTCATTAGAATTAATATTAATTAAAATATAAAAATTGTTATGAAATGCATCTGGAAGTCCTAGCCAAACCCTACCGCCGGCGGCCCTAGCCACCGCCGGCCGCACCCTTCTTCTCCTCCTCATCCCACACTCCAGCAGCCCTCTGCAATCATTGATCACGAAGAGAGAGAGAGAAGCTTGTTGTTGATCGCGATCACGAAGAGAGAGAGAGACAGGCGTTGATCGCGATCGCGACGCCGGAGAAGAGAAGGGTTTCAGATCGCGACGCCGGAGAGAAAGGGAAGAAGGGTTTCAGATCGCGACGCGACGCCG